TTTAGAATGCCTTCATTTAAATTTATTAACAACGTCAAGTTCTTAGTCAATTCAACAATATTTAATAAAATCCTAATTTTTGTTAAATGTTAACAAAATTTACGAGCTAATTTAAAATTATTTTATTAATTTTAATAATTTATTCCAAACTTATTTAAAGAAATTTTTGTTTTACTTAATATTCTGTCCTACGTAATAATCATACAAGTGCTTTATTATACCTTGAATTAAATTAATAAATTAGCCATAGACATAACAGCGGTGGTTACAATTTGTAACAATTGTAGCCAAAATATTTTTTAGGTTATACAAAAATCGAATTCACAATCTAAACAAATTAATGACATTATGTCAAATTTTTTAATAATGTCATATAGTATTTTAAGTCATACTTCTAATCCAAATAATAAAGATACTATGAAAAAAATAATTTCTTGAAATGAAATTTATTCTAAAAATAAAAAGTCTTTATATTTTTTATTTTAATCGCATGTGATTCTTAATTTTAATTTTTATTTTAATTTTTTTTTTTGATTTAATAACCATTTTCTCCACAATATCTTCAAAATTAGTAAACAAACAAAAAAAAAAAAAATAAATTCAAAATACTAGGAATACTAAATTTATAATGTAAATAAATTTTTGGTAAATCTTTAAAATATACTTAATTTAATTAGACAAATTTAAAAAAAAAATTAATTTAAAAAATGCCGTTAGTTATTTTTTTTTTTAAATTATATAAGAAAATAATTTTATTTTTAATTGAATTTTATTAAAACAAAATTTAAGTAAATTTGAAAAACTAAAGTTAAATGTTAAATAGTCAAATAATTGTAAATTTATGGTGAACAGTTTTAAAATAAAAAGTGAAGTCGAATTTCGATATTCTCTTTGTCTTTTGCAAGCAGTTTTAATGAATTATTTATTCTGTATAGTTCTTTGTAGTTAACACTGCAATAGATTCTTAAATATTCAATATTTATTTGCGTGGTATTAAAACGTAAAACTATACGTATAGAAAAATGCACTTTATTCGTCAAAAAAATTGTTATTAACTTAAGAACTTAAAGGCACTTTTCCAGAACGTCATGAATCTGACGATCATGTCAATTAAGTCAATCAGTTTTATTGTACATTGAAAATATAATTTATAAATGAAAATGCAGTAGCAGATTGCAAAAAAACATTCAAAAATTGATGATTACATGTGCAAACAATTGAATTGGAATTCTTGACGTCAAACAACATAGGGTTTTGTGTCTTTAGAAAATTATTTGCAAAATGATGTTCTGGGGAAAGTGCAAAATTTCAGATTCATAGTTAAACCATATAATATTATAATCAGAACGATTAACATTTTTTTGATTATTTTGCAAATTAAATTTCACTATTTTCAAATAAAAACACAACGACATATTACAAGAACTGTAGAATAGTTGATGACAACAAACACCAAAGTTTTTTGGCCTTTATAGGCTTTTACTTCATATCCAGCATGTTTTACTCGTTGTATATATTTATACTACACAATCTGTAATATTTGAATTAGATTTTAGAATAATGTTTTTGCTCTATATATACTTTCTACATTTCTTGTTCAAATAAAAAATTTATTTAAAAATTAAAATTATTTGGCATAATAAAGTTGAATATTTTATAATATGAAGGAAAACTGAATAATTAATTTATAAAATTAATAAAAAAAAGTTAAAGAGTAATTAAATAAAAAAAAAACATAATTGAAAAAATTAGAAAAATTTATTAAAAACAAAAAAGAAAAAGTTCAATATTCTAAAAAATAAAATTGAAAAATCAACGAAAATTACCCTACAGGTAAATGTTAGAGAACGAACCATTAATCATGTTAGCATCAATGCAAGAGAATCATCATGTACATTAAATATGAAACCAGTATGTGATACCAGGTACATTGCAACATAAAAATAATTATTCAATAATTATGCTAGCTAAAGTACAAAAAAAAAACATAAAAATTTCATAAAATTTCATGTGTTTTGTTTTTTTTTTTTTTTTAATATTTTTCTAATTCTTAAGGCATTAATTTTATTTTATCATGACATTTACTTTTATAATAATATATTTTTAAAAATTACACATTTTTTTCTCATATAAAATTTTTCTTTCACTAATTATGATAAGAGGCGTTCATTAATTTTGAATTACAATAAAAATTATCACAAAAATTTCTTTCACATGACAATTCATTGCATTGATGTTTTCAAATACGAATGTATGTAAATAAAATAATAATATTAAATTATGTAAAACAATTTTTTTAGGACAATTGGATTACAATAACATAGAAGGAGGTCTTCTCCTACAGTATATATTTTAAAAGTTTTACAATTCTATGTCAATCCCGTCAATCACTTGGTTTTACGAAAAAAATCACTTGCAATTTGGTTGGCAATTTTTTGTAAATGCAAAATTTTAAATGATAAAATATTAATTATCTTTAAACGCATATTAAATGCGATGTCGACGTGCGCAGCGATGCAAGAACTAATTGAATTAAGATTTTATGACATTTGTGTCATGACGCCTTTAAAATTATGACTGAACCTGATTTTGATTTTTGAAAATTATTAAATAAATCCGAATTAAACACGACGTTGACTACAAAATGTTTCAAAAATAAATTTAAAATTGTTATTATTAAAAAATTTTTACATTTTTGATGAGTAATTTTGAATTTTTTTTATTATTTTACATTTGAATAATTTTAAAATAACATTATAAATAATTTTAATTGTAACATGGATTTTCTTAGTAAAACTAGCAAGCCTTATTAACTGAAATGTAATGACGTGTCATGTGAGGAACTATATTCTATTATTAAATTACATATGTATGAATGTAGCAGGCACTACACATAGCGTACATATGTATGTACTCATTTTAATTGTTGAAATAAAAAAATAACTTTGGTGATAATATTATATTAATTAGAACAAAATTAAAGAAAATATGTGGTCCTAAATACTAATTCAGATGAAATGGAAATTTTGACAATAAAAAATGAACAGATTCTGTCTAAACTTTTAATATTCCGATTTTTATACAACTGGTCATTTATATTATTATGTCAAAATTCAGCTATATAAGTCAACTTTTATTGCAAATAAAATGTAGCGAAATTAGCATTTTGAAATCTTTAAAAAATTCAGGTAAACTAATAATATTCAGTTAATGCTTACATAATTTTCAAATCCAATTACTTACATTTTAATTGCAGGGAAACGGGGTGACGAATGACAAGTGGACGAATTAAAAAGTGAAAATCAATGAAATTTGAACTTGAAAAAGAAAATTTTCTGAATTAGTGTTGGGACAATTGATAAATTTTGTTTGTTTACAATTTTGTGCTTCAATTTAAGACATACATATATAGAAAAATTTAATTTAATTTTTTTATTTTTTTATGAAGTACAATTGTACTTTTATAATACTTATATTTTATTTTTTATAATATTCTTGTTTGTTTTTCTCTCTATTTTTCGCCACAATAAAATTATTTTGATCTTATTAGGTGTTTGACATTATGAATGACGCTTTATACAACTACGTTTACATTTTTTGCATGTTAACAAAATAAAAAATCTTTGCGAATTTTTTATACGCTGCTTATGTAATATATATAGTATATAAAATTATATATTTTATTTTCAATTGAAAAAATTTATTTCAAAGAGTTATATTGGAAAATTTTTCTTAACAGATGACTTATATCACTGTTTATAATTGCGATGACAAAACGTTGTCGTACTTGAAAATGAAAGTTTTCACTATTTAGCTGCAATGATTTTCTCTCGTAACTCTAAAATACACCAAAATTGCCAAAATCATACAATTTGGTGCTTCCATATTGTTTTGAGATTTTAAAATAACAATCTTGAGTTCCATATTGTAAAAAAATGTTTTTTTCGCCATCAAACTGTATGCGAAAATTTAATACACAACTTTTACAATACTTTGTAAAATAAAAGCGGCCAAAATAGTTTGACTGCAATATTTGCGTTTTTACTGCATATTTAAAAACTGTATTTACACAATTTTAAAAACTTGTAAACATGCAATATGGTACTTAAAAATTTGTCATGAAAACATTTTGTTTTACAATGTAGAAGTGAAAATATTGATTTTTAAGTGTCAGTAAATAATATTACCGTAATTTGTAAAATTATAAGCGCAACTTTTATGAAAAATCTGATAAAAATAATTTGAAAATTGAAATTTTGAAATTTTAAAACAATTATTCATTCCACAATCTTTTTGAGGTTAATAATTTAATTATTGAGTTTTAGTTTCAGTGATTCAAGACCCTCTCGCTGAATCAATTCTTAATGGCATTTAACTAAATTTAAGTTTGAATTCACAGTTCGAAGCTTTATTTAATTCTTGGTTCCATTTCATTTGATTCATAGACGTGAATAGCTATATTTAAAATTATATACTGAAATTTATCATTAAAATCAGTTTCTATATTCATTCTTATCTTTACCAACTATATTCAACTATTTATGACATATCATCATACTAAAATCATTAATTGTTTCTTTATCGTAATTTATTTAATTTTGTGCTATTAATTATTAATTTTGAATATGATTATAAAATTAACCTACGTATAACTTTAACATTCAAAGGGTAAGTTTAAAAATTTTTAATTTTTCTAATCACAAAATATAAAATCCAAAAAAAGTTCTTTTGATCTGCGTTTTCTGCTTAAAAATTTGAAATTTTAAAGTTTTGCATGATCTCACCAATTATGAATTTGAAATCACATATTTTCTAATAAAACACTTTTTTACTTCTATATATAAATGCATTCCACATTTCTATCACAACACATAAAATTTCTCTATTTAATTTTTTTAATTCTATTATCAATTATTTTAAATATTATTGGTTTATTCATCGAGATTCATCGTTTACAAAAATTTCTTTTCTTCAAAATTTGTATTTAATTTCATTTCTAGGTTGTAACTACAATTGGACCGCGTAAACCCCAACGTCAACCATCAAATGCATATGTTACTTTACCTACAGATATACCAGATACAGTACATTTTAATCAATTTTTAAATCAAGGATGTGAACCGTCATCTTTACCACCAATTTTAGGTAGTAATCAAAATATATCAAATCAATTATCAAATAGAGCACAATCGCCGTTATCTTTAACAACAAACTCTCTTTCAACGCCTACAACACAACATAAATTATGTTTAGAAACTTCATTTACAAATTTACAAAGTCCACAGGATTCAAATTCTGCCCAAAGATTTAATATGTCATCAAGTCGTCCAGAATCGAAAGCCTCATCAATTGGTGGTAGTGTTTTTAATCGTAGTCAAATAAGTACATCAACTGTTCAACAATTTGATATAAATAGTGTTCTGGACGATGATACAACAGCAGCACAAAGTCCATCATTTCCAAGTGAAGCAACAACTATTATTATGGCTGATGGAGTTACTATACAAATGGAATCTCATAATCCATTACAAAACTTCCAATATCCATTAAATGGAATAAATAATAACAATATGAGTATATCAACTATTGGGAGCCGTAGTAAGGTTGTTGCATTTGATATTGAAGCGACAAATATAACAACTGCTGCCATTATTTCGAAATCACCTTCAGTTTCACCACAAGTTCAAACACGAGGTATTTTACATAGACATCAATCGGATAAAGCTAAACCACGCAGTTCTAAGAAACCATCTTCATTACCTATTCCACTACGTAGAAGTTCGCTTGGTGGTGATATAAAACCTATCGATTTAATACATGACGATTGGTTTGGTTTAGCTCCTTTAGCAAGTCCTGAAACGCTTTCAGAAATATCAAGCATATCTTCGAGAACAAGTAACGCTCTTAGTTTAGCAAACAGTATTGAACGATATTTGCAAAAGATGTCAGTAAATGAAAATAGTGTTAACAACACGGTTGTTGAAGAAGTTTTTGAATCTCAGCTACATACACCCAAAGTAATGAGACGTGCTCCAAAATTTACAGAGAATTTGGCTAACTGTGCTAATGATAGTCGTGCTCATGAGCAATATAAACGAATGGGGCAAATTTTCTTAACTAGTCCAAGATTTTTAAGATCACAAGATAGTCAAGATTCCAGCCAGGACAGTTTTGAGTCCGCTTCTTCAAATTTAGTTTCCAATAGACAAGATGAGAAAAATACATCAAGTATAACGAATAGCAATATAATAGATCCGAAAATCGTTAATGCATCTGGTTCAAAATCAGCCGATAATTTAGAAGAATCGCCGCTGCAAAAAACTCTTCACGATGATGAAAATCAAAACAAAAAACTTACTTTTAGTGACTCGAATATTTTAAGTACTGAATGCCAAAGTTTATGTCCAAAATGTCCCTGCAAATCCTTTAATGGAAATATAAAAGAATGCTGTAAATTAACTGACCATAGTTCCTGCTTTAATAAATACTCTACAATTCTTACCACCAATACTAGTTCTTGTGATACATATTATAGTGCTAGTGCATCATCAATCGATCCGTCAACTTTAGTTGATTCAAAACCAAGAACACCAACAATCGAAGTATTTTCAACACCTCAAAGCCATTGCTCTGCAAATTTAAAACCACCACCTTCTCCAGAATTACCACGTCGTATAATAAATTTTAGAATTCCTGAAGAGACTATTAAGGTTGTCCAAGAACAAAATGAATCTGGAGTACTGGAATCCCATTTTCCATGTTTAGATGAAGAATTACTTTTGCCAAAATCAAAAAATAATAATAGTAATAGCAATAATTTATCAAGTCTAGAAAATACAAACACTAGTTTATCATCATCAGATCAAGTTTCTCTTCTCCCTACTGAAAGTCCAAAAAAGAAACGTGTCACTATTTCTAATAGAGAAAATAATAAAAATAATAATAACAGTGTTCATTTTGTAAGTCGTCAACAACCTGGAAGAGTACAATTTAATAACAATCAGAAACCGTCACCAATTATTAAAAAACGAAATGGTAATAACTCTAATAGCAATGGTGTTGGAGGTAGCACAAACAATGACAAAATTTTTACCAAAAATGATTCATTACCCCTTTTATCGCATTTAACAGAAGCTAGAATATCTTCTCCAGGATTTGTGAAAAGAAAAAGTTGCATTTATCCAGCAAATAGTTCAGCTAGCCCATCAAAACAACAACAACCTAGTACAAGTGGTAAGACTGAAAGTTATGTATAGAAAATTATATTAAACAATTCGTAGGATATATTGTGTGTATGTTGAAATTATAGGAATAACATTTGAAGCAAAATTACACATTGAATTGAATCGATTTTAGATTTATATAGATTTAATTAAAAATTAAGTTTGTTATTGTTGTTTTTGTTTAGCGTATTTTAAGTTTAAAGTAGATAAATAAATAGAAATATGATGTGTTAGATTTAAAAAAAACTCAATTCTAAAAATTCGAAAATAATTTTAACCACATTTTAAAAATTCTTATTTGAATTACAAATTATAGTTGCAAGAATTATACAAGTCTCGCTCTACGATATTTCAATAATATCTATGAACATAAATATGTTAAATAATTGTGCTGTTGTATAATTATCGGCAAGAAATTCTTTCAAATTCAAATTTACTCAAATAAAAAATTTCTGTCTTGAAAGGAAACGTTCCCAGGAATCAAAAGATTTCTCAGGTATAGAGAAGTAATTACGTGTTGCTTTCCTAAGGCCCAATCAATAAAAACAAAGACATGTACGCACAACAAAATATACCCAATGAGACAAATACATCAAATCCAAGAAATATAAATGGAAAACTTGTCCATAAAGGTGGAATATGCATGTTTAATTGTATTTATTGAATCTTTTTTAGAAATTACCAGTAACGGTCACCGCATTATGAATTATTCAATGCAATCTGTCCTCACTATGGTAAAAAACACTAATTGGAAAAAAATTTAAAAGCCTTAAATAAAAATAAAAAAAATTAATAAATTAATTAAATATTTCAAAAAACATTTAAAAACAAAAACCTTGCATTTCACAATAAAGTAATTAGAAATCGAGTTCAGCAGTCCGTTTCAAGTAACAACCCTTGTACTTTCCATTAAAAAAAGTATGTAATGCCTACAGTCCTACTATTCTACTGTAAAACTAACTATCTTTTCTATTTGTAAGGTGCTAATCTTGTATTTAAATAAAATTTACTCTGATGCAGAACCATGGTGCGACTCCGTCTAGTACAAGCGTAGAATGATCGCTATATAGAACTTTACAATGATATAGTAATATAGAAATTACATTTTGTTAAAATTAAGTTTATCTTTTTCAACCTCCGTAATAAGTTTTAACAAATGTTACTTGAGATACCTCCGAATCCGAATTAGATTTAACAATGGAATTTAAAATTTATTTAAAATTTTTTGATTTAAATTTCCTTTATAAATAAATAATATGTATTTGCTTTTTCTAGTTAGAAAATTAAATGAAAAACGTGTCGTCAAAAAGGAAAAATAAAAATATGTTGTGCCAAATTAAATAAACTATATTATACAAATAAAAATTAAATAAAAATCGTCAATAAATTACTAGAAGTCAATTCCAAAATAAAAGAAAAAAATTAAAGAAATTTTTTTATAAAAATTTAAAATAAGTAGCTAGTAAAATTGATTCACTAATAAAATTCAAAATGATTCTAATAACATTTACTAAGTATGCATGTATATTTAAAATTCTAATTTAGAAATGATTAGATTATTAAAAATTTAGAAATACAAAATGATTTTTAAAAATTTATCTTTAAAAAAAAGTAAATATTTTTGAAGAAACAAAAATTATTCTACTTTTCTTAAAAACTTTAAAACTATTCAATTTTAATTTAAATTTAAAAAAAAATATTTCAATAAGAAAAAATATTCACCCATGCATTAGACGCATTAACTGAGATGATGAGTATTTTTCAAATATTTTTCATTTCAAAAATTTCTTAATTAATATTCCATTATCTCAAGTGGTGCATCTTAAAGAACCTGGGTCAATATTGCTATTCTTATTCAAAAATTAATATTAATTTTAAAAACTATTTTGCATATATTGTCATCTTAGATTAAAATACTGCTAAGCTCAACTTTTTACAAAATTTATTCCCTTTGTTCATTAGATTTTATTACTATGAATTAAACATAACATGCTGCTTTAGAATTGTTTTTATGTTTCAAAATTCTTTAAATTAATGCAATCTGCAAACCATCATATTTTTACAGCAAAAATATTCTAAATCTGTCTATCCTATGTATAAGCCATATGGAGTTACTTAATAAAGCGGTTCCGAAATTTTATTCGAAAATCTTGTGTCTTGCCAACATTTATCATTTTATCGCTATTTTATCCTTTTATCACTTTTCTGCAAAATTTTTAAAATTTCATTATTGAATTTTCCATGAAATTTTTTTTTAACTTTATGTAAATGGTTGGTTATCTTCCCTTTCTTTTAAAAATTAAAGCGGATTCGTATTAACTTAAAGTTTTTTCTTTCGAATATTGATATCTGCAATTTTAAATACTGCTATAAATTTAAATCTCTTTTCCTATTGAATTGAATTACAATACCTCTTACTTAATGAGTTCTAGAACGAGAATTAATTTAAATTTTCACTTAACTAAGGCGTTCCTTACACATCCAAATTTATAGTTCAATCTTAAAATTCACAAATTTTTAGTCCCTATCATAATATTAAATTTAATTAAATTACAATGTCTGTTAAATAATTTTATTTAATTTAAATTTTTGCAACTCAAGTACTTTCGCTATTCTCTATTCAAATACAAACTTTAATTAAATTTAAGATTGACAGTGATCTAAATGACAAAATATATTCGATGGATTTCGATACTTTCCTAAACTCAAACTAAAAATTTATACAATAAAAATATGAAAAGTATCGAAATTAATTGATAAGAAGTATCGATATTTAAGAATAATTGATTTTTAAAAACAAATTTGACAGAAAATATTTTTATAATTTTAGTTAGCGTTTACACATCAAACACTGTTCCTCGATTCCGTTTGATGTGATGAAAATTTGATGAAATAGAAAGCCATTCCAATCTCATCAAATATATGAAAATTTTTTGACCTTTAAACGCTAACTTTTATATTTATTATTAAAATGATTTCATTTTTAATTTAATTGTAGGAATTTAATTATAAATATTTGTCTTATATACATAAGTATATACAAATAACATATGTAATTATCTTTGTACATTTGATTATGTTTTAAAATCTTTTTGTATATTCAAATATATACGTCAAATTTTCTTTCAATAGGGTATATAAAATTTCTAAAACTCATCATACTTATTATTAACTAAATCTATAAATGAATCCTAAATCTATAATTCTTTAAAATTACACAGTTATCTATATTATAAAATTAAAAAAAAAGAAAAATATTCTAAAATTACTTAAAATATGTCGATTATTTGATCTCATATAAAATTTTAAATAGTATAAAAATAATATATACACATTATATGAATATTTATGTATTAATAGGAAATATTTCATATAAATTTAGAATCTTAAATATTCAATTAAAAAAAAAATGTAGTAGAATCTCAAATTTTCTTAAAGTTAAAATTTTCCAAATTTTTAAATACTTACACAACTGGTGTAACTGATTGAATAAATTAAGTACAGTTTCCTAAACATGTTAAATGTTTAACATAAAAATTTTACGAAAAAAATATTTTAAAATTGTTAATAAAAAAAAATACCCTTAAATTGTAAACACCAAAATATTTCATTACATTATGTATAACATTAATATTATTAAAATTACTATGAATGTCAAAAAATTATATACAAAAAAAAAGAAGAAAAAATTAATAATAAATAGGTTTCCCCCTTACAATAAGGACATTAATACAAAAAATATTCCTAATCTGACCAAAAAAATTCGAATAAATAACTAAAAAAATATTCAACCATTAGAAGATTTTTTCTTTTAACATTTATACTTTATGTTTTATACTTTATGTTTTAACTAGCAACTTAGCATCACTTCAACATTACAACCGGATTTTTTAAAATTATAAATTAAATTAATAAAGTACACATAAAATTTAGATTAGTCGTTTTATAGATCAGCTGTATGATTATTTTATAAGTTTATTATATTTGGCAAATTTACCTGATTGTACAATTTTTTTGAACTAGTGAATTCGTAATTATAAAATTATTTATGACGAATGGATTTGTTAACAATTTTTTGCATAAAGCAAGCATTGTATAAAATTGACAGAAGTATATAGTAAATTATCGCAATGAAATTCTTTTTATCTTCAGCTTACTTGTCACATTATACATATGTACTTATTTTCTGTCGCAAAGAAATCTGGCGAATTTCGTCAGATAATGAGCCACAGTAAATTGATTTTTCATTATTTTAAAAAAATTAAGAGACAGAGTAAAATATACTGTACTTTTCGCCATATGTACTTGCAACATAATTATTAAGAATTTTCTTGTTTTTAATTATGCTACATTTCAAAAATTCGACTTGCACAAAAGAAAAATGTGTCTCGTTTTGTTATTCATAGTCCACATTCGTCTCTTTTCAACACAACTTGGGCATGGAAAATTTAAATAATGTGATAACAAATAAGTAGTGTTTTTTTTTTTAACTAGAAACGATTTAATGATTAACACCATTAGTTTTAATTCTAATTTGATTAATTGTTGTTAAAACAAGTGAATTTAATGCATTCACATATAGAATACAATTTTTATATTAAGATCACATAATGATTGTGCCAATTATGAATCTCTTTTGAATTTGCATTATTTTCTTTCTACAATAAAAAATATTCACGTAATTATGAAAATCTACTGGATCTAACGGAATTAATTTTAATAGTCTTGCTACTGGTCAAAATTTATTTGTATTAAAATTCATATGCATGTTGTATTGGACGATTATTTTAAATGGATTCCTATTTAATTACGTAGGAGAAGGCTTTTTTTAAATAACATTTGTAAAAACCGATAAATTTATCTGTAGGATATTTGTTCTGTCTAAGTTTCTTTACTATGTCAAATCGTAATAATAAACAGGGTTAAATTGGAAACCAGATTTCAATGAATATTATATCATCTGTCTTGTGAAGTTGGTCTTGTCAAGAAATAAAAAAAAACGTGTTTTCCAATTTGGTTGATTCAAGAATTTACCGATTATATTTGATATTAAAAATTTTGTGTTGTCGTATCTATCTGTTAATATTTTCCAAGCTATTGTATAATTACTTGCGCGGAAACTGATAGATGTTTAATTAGCACTTTCTTCTAATTTTCTCTTTGTTAACATTCTTTTAGAAAGATTTTTATTTTCACTATAATTTTCCTTTTTTATAAAATAAATGATGCAATTAAATATTTTTAATATAACAGGACATTTTTTCAAATTTATGATTTTGAGTTGAACTGTTTCAGAAAAATTGTTAGACTTTTAAATTAAATTAAAGCATACCCGGTAGACTTTCAGTATAGAAACCAGTGATTTTTTTTCCTGATTTGCGAATATTTGAGTTGAAAATGGTAAAATTGGAAAACAAATTTTTCGGAATTTTATCTAAATAAAAATTTAAAACTCTTGTTTTTCTAAATACATATTATTATACATATATTATTTACATGCCGTATACATAAATATTTATAATATTATACATTTTATGTAGATTGTATACGACGCGTGTAATATTCTCTTGTACTCATAAACATACTTAAAATCAATTTATTTATTTTTAATTTATACTCGTAACAATAATAAAAAAAATCTAGTCGAATTGTTATCATATACATACAGATAGAAAATTAAAACAAAAATATTTTTTTATATTATAAAATAATTAGAAAAATTAAAATTCAAATAAAAAAACAAAAACCAACATAGTTTAGTTATGTAGGTAAGTATTTAATAATTATAATTATTATTATTTATTAAATTATTATTATAATTTATCAATGTTAAATATAGGAAAATTTTTTATATGAGAAAATTAATTTAGAAAAACAAAAACTAAAATAAATCTTAAAATAATAAAAAATTTGAAAAAAAAACAGTGCAATGATACCGTTATTATACAAGTACATTTTAAATAACAAAAAAATAATTAAATTTAAGAATACAAAATAAAAATGTTTTTAAAATTAGATTTTAAGTAAATTAAATTGCAAGAGGAAAAATGAGAAAAGAATAAATAAAAGGGAAAAATAATTTATTTATAACTATTACAAAAATTTAGTAAAACAAAAATAATTATTTTTAAATTATTTCATATTAAAAGAGACACAAAATAAAAACCATGTTTTTAATAATAAAATAATAAAAAAAAAACATTATTGAAAATTTAATAAAAAATAAAAATGTTATAAAAAAATAATGGCAGAGTAATTATTGTAAAATAATATTATTAATTATTATTACAAAAGAAAAATTGTTAGAGAAACGATAATATTATTAGTTATATGAAAATAAAATTAACATAAAAATTATTAAGTTTGTCTATAAATTCTTATTTTACCAAGTCATTGCTATAATATATTTTCCAGCTCTTTCATACAGATTTTCATAAATTTAGAAAATAATCACAAACACCGTAAACAATGTTGTTATTATCATAATAAACTAAAACTATATATGTATACTGATATGAAAATTATATTTTTGACTGAATGATAGCCCATTCGTATTTCATGATAATTTGACTACAAAAACTAGTTTTTGAAATTTTTAAAATTAGCTTTTAGAATTGTGTAAAAGCCGTTCCAACGAGTCAAGTCGTTTAAATGTCTGCTAAGTTTTATGGATCTAGCTTTATTATTTTTTCAAATTGATCAAATTTACTTTAGTGTTAAATGATAACTAAAAGCCATTCTATCAAAAATTTCAAAATGTATAAAATGTAATCGTTTTGAGTTGTAATGCAGCTATCGGAACTCTTTGTTCGCATTGTTGCAATTACAATAACAGTCATTCTTGATAGAAAAATAAACAATTTCTGAAACTTTGATGATGTTCATTTAGATCGGATAGATATGTCAGGTTTACATCAAAACTGAATTTTATGCAATTAAGTTTATTGTCTAGAAATCTATTCATATGTATGTATGTACATATTTTATTATTAACTTCTTTATTCTGTAGAAGCACTCAGAAGGGGAAACTGCTTTGTAATAAAACCATCAAGTTATTTAAAACACCTCATTTACAAAATTAATTTGAAGTTTAAATTAAATACTTTAAAAATGGCAAGTATGGTAAGTAATATTTAAACACAATTTTTTAAAATATATTACTTATAATTTAATTTATATACATAAAAGTTAAATATACATAACTGAAATTACTACGAATTTAAAAAAAAAACTTACTCAGAAATTCATGTTCGTACGCCGCAACTCCTTCTTCGAGTTCAATTGTTCACACATATTAAACCTACGCATGGATGTGTTTATCAACATATTATATTTTTGATCTATTTTTAAGTTTTAAACTTTGAAAATTAATTGAATTTCATTAAAGTCATGATTTATAAAGCCAAACTTTAATTTTTTTTAAATACTTACTCAAATATCTAGCATTTTCCAAAATCTCAGGTATTTCAAAATTATACGTACATATGGCGAAAGTCACTCGTTACATATACTATACATTGATATCTATACAAAGGCAATACAAAATTTTTTAGAAGGTAAAACAAATAAAATTCTGACATGAGCCAATACAAATTTAAATTAATAAATTTTGCTAACACACTGATAAAAATCTGTTCATTTTGAATTAAATATTCACAATGAACAGATAATCAAACCATAAAGCAGCAAATTAGCCTCAGTAAATTAGAATTTAAAGAAAACAATTATTACAGCTTGCGGGTTGGTAGGTATCCTTCTATTCGATAGTCGATATATCGATTATTTTGAAATAGTTCTCTGTTTTTACTGAATATTTAAAATTTGAAAATTTTCAAAAATCAGCCGGAATATTAATATTTAGCTATAGATGTCCCAATCATCGACTAAAAGAATTTTTATTTGACAACAGCAAAAACAGCTGATAATGTTTACTTAAAATTTTGACAGGCGTTTGTTTCCTTTTTGATAATTTGAATTTTCCTTTATTTTTTTTTGTTATCTGTCTAAGTTAAGTACTGCATAGATTTTAATTATACTAACATATTAAAAATAATTGTTTTCTTAATTATGTGGCTTAATAGGCTAAAATTTAATAAAAACGCACGGAATTTTTCAAACCAATTAACAATAGAACAGTACCTGACGGAAGATAATCGTAATAACTTTGAAAATCGTTTTAAAAAATCATGTTCCACAATTCAACTTAAAAAAGATACTGATAAATATTCAGCAGTTCTAATATCTTTTCCAATAACAAATATCTTTTCCAGGTATGTACATATAAAAAGTTGTAATTTCATATAAATATTGGAACTTAAATTTTCTCTTCTATTTTAGGCGGTGTCCGAGATCATACAGACACTTCTTTTGAAGAATGTGCGTTAAGAGAAACTGAAGAAGAAATTGGTTTGCCAAAAGAAAAAATTAAAATTTGGGCTTCTGGAAATTTAATTAAACCTCCGCATACAGCAGCTATAATGCCGATTGTTGGTTTCGTTGATGACTTTAATTCAAATGACTTAAAACTAAACAAATTCGAGGTTGAAAAAGTGTTTATTATTCCAATAAAAGATCTTTGCGACAGCAAAAACATTCGTCATACACAATTCAGAAATGGTTATAGTTCTCCCGTATTTCTTTTGGAAGACAAACATACAAAAATATGGGGAATAACTGGTATGATAACACTATTCTTTTTAAGTAGTTTACTTCCGAGAGATGTATTTAAACCCAAATTACCATACATTGTGCCATATGATAAAGTTAAAAGTTGACAATAAATTATTAACGAATCGTGACGTAGTTAAAATTTTACAGAATTTTTATGAAACTATGTACCTACCTAGCTATCACAAATCTTTTCGGATATAACATTTTATTTTTAAAATTTTGCAAATAACACATTGGTTATGGACACCCTTAAAAAATATCTTAAATCAATTTTATCAAAGTTAAAATTATAAAAAATATTTATATAAGAATTGTAAAACTAGGCATTGTTATAGCAAATAAAGAAAGTGTATATTTTTTTTTAATTTAATTCGTACCTTTAAAGTTTTTCAATATATTTCCTACAATATGCCCTTTGATGTTTTGTTGCAGGATATGTTTGGAGCTCACAACATCTTGGACTATTTTTTGAGAAAGTACTGCACAAAATCTGTAAAGCTTTTCAAGACCTTTTCTATAATATGGAAAATTACCACATTATGCTAGATGTTTTCCCTTGTTCTCAGGATATATTTTTTAACCTGATTAAATGAAGAGTTCATGAACAAAACTTGACGAGCACTCTGAAATCTTTTGAACGGTTGAGTATGGCCGTTTCGTACCTATTCAGTTTCAGATCAAAGTATAAAAGTGTTGGAATCTTTTTCACTCTAGAAAAATATTCATCTGAAAAGTGTTATAATAACTAATACCAGCTAACTTTGTTAAGGTAAATTTCCTCGTTTAGCTTTTTTATTTAAAAAGAATTTTTTTAACCTAGCCCTTATTTTATCAACGTGACAACTGATTTATTACTCTTTTACAATCTGGTACTTGAGTGAAATAATTTTTCACGATACAGAACTAAATCACACTCATTAATCTAGAGCTGTATTATCCCAGCAATCTATCTTAGTATTATCCAAGCTTATAAAATAACCACAATAGAACTCACTAAATAAAAAAAAACAGGAATTGTTATTACTTTTGTATCATGATCACTTTTATTAGATAATCATTTTACATACTTACATACATATATATTCATATTAAATTAATTGTATATTAATTTGCTGCATTTATATTATATAATTAAAAATTTGATTCGTATCAAATGTTACTGATTTTTTCTTATTTTATGTGTATAAAATTTTTATATACAAATAATTTTCATGATGTTTTTGTTATTTAAATACTATTACATGCCACATATACTGTGTAATATGCTTTTACATCTTCTCTAAGTTTTAATGTAAAATTTATTAAAATTTATTAAACTATTGTTTTCTTTTTTATTAGTACAAAAATGTTAGGCCTTATTTTTTTACCATTTCAAATATTTATAAAATAGGACGTTTTTAGTTATTTCAAAAGCTGAAATGATTTTGATTTTACTTGCTATTCACTTCTTAATAATATGTCTATGTTTTGAATATAAAAAATGCTTTTTTACGCAAATGCAAAAAATGTATTTGGTGATGTAAAAACTTTACAATCAGTTTTGTAAATTCTTACCGGAAATCAAGTTCTATAAGGACAATATTTGATAGAGAATTAATTAAATAAAAATGAAATTGAGTTCTTTTGCGGTATAAAAAGGTTAAAATAACAATAAGTAAGTAAATTTAGGCTTTTCCTTTTTGAAAAGTGGAAAATTGCTAATCTAGCTGTTAAAATCATGAAGGTATAACACCATTTTTATATTGTGAATCATGTGTTTTTTCCAGTTGAATTTTGCGAAGGCCTATTAAAATCAAGTTGCAAATGGTGAATATTGTATTTTAGAAATATTTAAACGAAAAAAGGTCTAAATTGAAATATCATATTTTTTTCTGGCTTTTCAGAATCAATTTTTTTTTTCATTATTTTAAACAGTAAAAAATAATTTATGGCTGCTACTAAAACGGATATCTGAAATCAATTTGGCTTACGTTGAAGTTAGATTTATATTTTGGTAGATGCAATTAGTGATGTGTTTCCGAAAAAAAAGTTCAATACAGTTAGTGCAGGATTTAACACAGTTTTATATTTTCCGATTAAAAAATTTGAAAATATAATTGCTACAAAATTATAATTTTTATATTACGCTACCATCAAAGATTTTATTTTATTTCTTAAGTAGAAAATTTCTTTTTATTTATTTTATTTTGGATTAATATTATATTATTATATTTTAAAATTACATTAAGCCTTTACTTTAAGATTAAATCTTATAAATTTTTAAAAAAATTTTTTTGTCCAATTTTTTTTTTAAATATCAATTTTTATTATTTTTATTTAGAATACTTTTTCGTTTTTTTTTTTTTTAATTGATTTTACAAAAATTTTTTGATTCCATTTTTGTTTTTATGGGCACTTTAAAAGAAATTTCAATTACTAAATTTTAACATTAAATAATAAAAAAATAATTAAATTTGAACAAAATTTTGTAATTTTTTTTTGTATTTTGTTTTCTTTTTAGAAAATTAAATTAATACAATTAAAATTAATTAAAAAAAAATAAAAGAAATTAAGACAAAAATGTTGAATCTTTTTTTTTTAAATTTTTGTCTTATTTGAAATATATTTTATTTTTATTTAAATATATTTATATTAAAATTTTGTCATTTCAATTTTGTTAATGGTATATCAATTTAATCCAATTAAAAAAAAAAAAACTAAAACATTAGTTAACATCAATCAATTTCTAATACCAAAACCAAAATTTGAAACGTTTTTCATGTATAATAGGGCTTATTTTGCAGTATGTATTTTAAATATAATTTACACATTTTAAAGGATAAATTATCGAATTAAAAAAACTAACCTAGTAAAATAATCTAATAAAGTTCAAAGTTTTAAATTGGATTCTACAAGTTGTTTTTTATCTTAAGAAAATATATCATATTAAAAAATTAATTATATATTTATGAATAATCATATGTAGTTATGAAACAAAAGCCTTTAACACTTCATTCGCCAATTTATAATTTATTTTTTAAATATTTTTTAATTCATGTTGCGTTTTAATTTACATTTATTTTCTTTTACATTGTATTTACTTTTGTATTGATGACGTTTAGCTTTTGTATTAAAATTAAATAAGAATTTTTCATTTTAAATTATTAAAAAAATTTTTTATTTACAGTATCGTGTTATGGTTTAAGGTAAATTGTTTTAAGCAAATTTTATTCGATTCTAAATAAGTATTTTTTCAATATTTATATAATTTTATTAAAAGAATTACAGAAAGTTTTTTATTAAAGCTATTAGCTCCATTAATTTTTTTTAAATTACATTGAAATTTTATAAAAACAAATAAGGCGAATTTTTACGTAAAAATATTAAAAAGGAAAAAAATTAAATAATTCAAATTCTTTTTTTTTTTTTTATTAATTTTTCTTTAATTTTTAACATTCAATATTTCATTTTAAAATTTAAGGCCAAATATTGAATTTTAATATTAATATTTTAATAATATTGGATTATTAATTTAAAAATAACATTGTTTTATTTTTAAATCATACTCTAAATTTTATAATATGAATATTTTTTTTTCTGATTGTAATTTTAATTTCTTCTTTTTTTTTTTATTTAAATTTAATTTATAATTAAATTTTTTAATCATTTCAAAATAATGGAAAATTATGAAAGAAATATAAAACAAATGAATAAAGTATAATAACTAAAAGTATTTTAATATTAATAATTAATAAAATAATTATTTAAAAAAAAAACAAAGAACAGGATTTTCAATTTAAGTGTATGTTTTGTTTTTTTTTTTTAAATTATTTATAAAATAGAATAAAATCCTATTATATGCGGGTACACATTTTCACTTTGTTTACATGTTTTTTTTTTATCTTTTAATCCGATATATCAATCGGTATGGATGTTGTAAACGTTGGTGTTTCCAATTCTTCGTGTTTCTTCATTTTGAGCATCTAAAAACAGAAAAAAAAATTAATACACAAAAATTAAATTTTGTTTACAAAATTGTTATTTTTAATAATTATAAATGTTTGTACATATATAATAAAATATTTAATAATATAAAACAGAAACAAAGCAACAAAAGTTCCAAAAAAAAAAAAGTAAAAAGCAAAATATAAAATAAAATATAGAAACAATAGATACAAATTTGCAAAAACAAAAATAAACAATTAATAAAAAAAAAATATTTATATTTACAAACACATAAATTTAAACAAAAAATAATTTACAATAAAATTTTAAAATGTGTGATTTTTTAAATAAATTTTGTAGTTTTCTAAAAACAATAACGAACTAAATGAAACTTTAGAAACCTTCTTTATCGAGCAGATTTTATTTATATTCTTAATATCTAAAAATATTTCACGTGATCGTATTCTTGAAATGTCGATGGCTTATAGTGAGAACCTTTTATCCAACATCTACCAGGGTCTTTCTTACAATTTACAATCTTACATATTTACATAAATTACATAAATTAATTTACTGCATATGAAAATTAAATATTTTTGTAATGAATAGTAGTGAAATAGTATTTTCGGATTTTTTCCAAATTATTTCAATATGGGATAGAGGGTGTTATCGCTAAGCCCTTAACGTAGATTTTGATACAAAAATCAATTTGACTTATTTCTTAAAATTAACATTATTTTGCATTTAACAGTTAATTAAACCTTTTATATTGTATTCTAAATTCAAAAGAGTCGGTTCCTAAATTATTTTTCAAAACATAATATTTACAAAATTTATTAGCACCATATATTGTCCGAGAACAATATGTTATTTGTTGTGTATTTACAAAAAAAAAAAAAAAACAAAAATTTCTTCTGATTAAGTCTTATTGACTCTCGCCAAATCTCGTGAATTTAATGGAATCAAAGAAAACGCAAATTATTAATAATTAATTGAATTATTCAATTAATATTGTACTAATAAAAATATTAGTACAATTTCAGTCATTTTATTGTTTAATTTATTTTGCAGAAAAATTCAACAAAACACAACGTTCTGTTAAACTTTATCACTAAGTGATAGTAATTTTTAATTGTTTTTTATCATCTTAAAATTTTTATTCAATAGCCGCATTTAAGTCAATTTTTTATTAATTTTTTAGCACTTGTAATAAACGCTTTGAACATTTTCATTGAAGTACTAATTAGTTTTAATTAACTAGCATCACAATAAAAATAATGTTATTATTCTTTTCAAAATGAGTTGACGTGATTGTAAATAGATATTTCTATCAGGATCAGTAAAGTGAATACATAACTGAATGTGGGTATCAAAAACATAAATCATGAAAATGATTAAATTAAACCTTTCATTCGGTTTTGAAAGTTGAAAATGACAGTTTGTCTATCATTCATCCTAAAAGAGAACTAAAATTGTCATCAAGAAAAAATTTGCGATAAACTGAAATCTAATTCATACTCCCTGTGTTACAAGTTCAATATGCACTACTAATGCAAATTTTTTGTCTCCTTCTTCTTATTAGATAACTACCCGATGAAGAAAACTCGCTTCTTCTTAAAGTTGCTTGTTAAAGTTAAATATGTCTATTTTTATTTCTTTTTAATTTTAGATAATCAATAGCAAATATGAAAAAATAAAAATATTTTTTACGACTGTTGAATAGTTTATTGTCAAACAAGCTTATTAGCAATTGTAATTTGACGGTAGATTTACAAAACCGATAGAAATTTTAAATAATCTAGATTTACAATCTAAAATTTGATTAAATTCTAGACTATAAAATTGCAAGAATAATTTACAATCTAAATTTAGAACTAAGTATAAAAAAAATAATAATTTTTATTTCATTTTCTTAAATGTGTGACTCGAATGTGTAAGCAAACAAAAAACAAAGCACATAATGTTTTTCTAATTTAAATAATGTAGAGAATTTGTTGAAAAAAAAAAAATAAAAAAATAAAGCAATTAAATTAAAATATAATGTTTTTAATTCCTATGAATCTTATGAAAATCACCATAATATTTTTTTAAATGAAATAACCACACCATTTAGAATATGATTAGAAAATTTTTCAAAAAAAAAGAACAAAAATACAAAAATAAGGACGATTTTAACCCCAAAATAAGAAAAAAGTAAAAAGATTTTTTTTTTAATCTGCCAGAATTTGTGTTTTTTTTTTATTTATATAAACGTACCTGCTTAGTATCACCTCTACACTTTAAATCATAAATATAAATTAAAACATTCGTTTTTCAAAAAAATAAAAGAAAAAAGAAAAAAAGAAATTTAAAATTAAAAATAAAATTAAATTAATTTGAAAAAAAAAACAAAAATTTAAAAAAAATTACTTAAAAAAGATTCTCTCGGATTTTTTATCGTTACTTTATTATTTTTTATTTTATTTTAATTATTAAAATAGTAGGAAAATGAAAATAGTGTCGATAGGGCAATTAAAATCTTTTAGAAGAAAGTATTTTTTTATTTTGCAATAAAAATATTGTCTTTAAATATATGTACTTATAATTAAAAAAAAAAGTGCATTCACTTCAAGATATTTAATTTTTAAATAAAATTTGTGATGATCTAGAAATAATCGCTTTGATATAGATCTTAATTTAATTGATGCAAGCCAGTTAAAAATAAAAAAAAAATTCTGGAATTTTCAAATATTTGCAATTTATTTATTTATAAAACGTGAATTTATATAAAATGAATTTTGAACTAGTACTTTATGCTTAATGTACAAGCAAAACTATAATATACCTACATAAATATATTTTAGAAGATTATACGATCAATGCAATTAATTCTACACTTACCATCTATTGATTATTGACGGTAGTGTCAACTATTGTATGACACCTATGATTATTGACAATAGTTGATAGTTGATATGTATATTTATATGTATACATATTCCGTGACTTCAATAATGCTTCATAAAGAGTTTAGGTACGGTTTACCGTCTCAGAGTTTTTAATATCTTTACATTGTAAAAAACAAACTACATTTTGAAATACAGCTTTTACAATATTAATATATACTTTGACGTTTGTTTGAAAATTTTAATTTAAAGTTCTGTACAAATGTTAATTTTTAACAAACGTTATCGCATCATTAAAAACATAGCAATTTTAAGCTGCATTTTAGGAAAAAGAAAAACTTAATAACTAGCACTTTATTGGTGAAAATATATGCTAGTTTATTTAATTGGTTATTTCTGGCAACATTTATGTGACATGTATAAGAGCGTGCTCGATTTTTTCGATACCCAATTTACTTTTATTTTACGTATCCACTACGTATAAAACGCATTTAGGAAAAGTATACAACGTCAAGAGCTTTTAATAAACTTTTTGGAATGAGATACTTTGTAAAGTTTACGTGGTAAGCGCATTATTGAAGTCACGGGTTTTCTCAATAATTACAGGTAGAAGCCGAATTATACCAAAATTGTAAAGTGTAAGGATTTTATAAAAATGAAAAAAAAATTGCGATCGTAGGTTTTGCAGTTTGTCATATTTAACAAATCAAATTGAATTTTCATTATCAAAATAACGTCGAAACTTAACGGCTTTTAATAATATTAAACTTAATGATTTTATGCACTGAAAGTTCTAAATGAAGTCTTAAAATTCTTTTTGCGCATACTTCCATGCAGAAACTGAATATTTTAGTTTTTGATTTGAGCACAACTTCCATATTCGAACATAATATTTTTCAAGATTTTGCAGTTTGGATTTATCGAAGGTGCTTTATAATAAGACCTAAGTTAAGAGTGAATTATCGAAAAATGTATTTTAATAGAGCTTGAAAAGAATTGGATGATGTTCTAATTTTTCTGTAAAACAAAACATATCCAACTCATCAAATTTCAATAAGAATCCATCAACAATATATTATCTTGCCTTTACACCCAATTATCAATAGTTCCTTAAACTATTTTCTTTACTATTTTCTTTAAAATTATTAAAAATTTTTTTAAAATTTAGATAAAGTAATAGATATTATATTTTTTTTGGACAATGTGTATTTACAATAATTGAAAAAAAGATAATGAGAAATGCAAGCTCTAGAATCTAATAATAAACTTATTTTTTTTTATTTTTTGAAATTAATGGAAAATAATGGAAATTTAATTTTATATAAAATTCAAAAACTATAAGCACTAAAAATACATTCTTAAATTTATAATTTATCGAAAATTATCTAAATTTTTATTATACAAATTTTCATAATGTAGTTTATTAATGAATTTTTGAGCGATTATGTCGGATTCATCACAAAAATTATTTTTTTGTTTTCCTTCTTTTTTTTTTTAATAAAATATAAATATATATATTAAATTTACCTGTTGCAATTTATAATGATTAATAATATCCTGATCAGCTGGACATGATTGTGTAAAAGCATCTAATTGATACATATGATACATGTAACGCCACAATGCTGTTAAATGAGTCTAAAAACAAAATTTAAATTTAATATTAATTACAAATAAAACAATTTTTTTGATTGAAAAATACTTACAGGAATTTCGAAATCAACAAAATATTTTCCAGCTACTCGAATATGTTGTAATCTTGGCATTAATTCACAATCAAAACAACACATTGTATCACCAGTTAAGAAACGTGTCCCTCTAACTGCTAAATGATCATTGATTTTTTTTAAATGTGATAGTAGAGCATTATTTTGATGATCATCTTTTTTAACTAACATTAATTTTAATTTTGAATATAAATTTTCAATTAATGTTGCTACTTCTTTATCCTAAAAAGGGGAAAAAGATGTTTTAATAATAAATTTTGGTTTAAAAAAAATTTTTTTAAAAATTAACATAATAGGAAGAATTATACAAATATGTCAGGAAACTAAAGAAAATTTATTAACTACCTGACTGAAATTGAAAATTAATGAAAGCCAAATTATTTTTCCGGAAAATTATGAAATTTGACAGTTCGAACATCATAATATGTGCAATTAACATAATATTAAATATTATGAAGTTTCATAAATTTTATGAAGTTCTTCAAGCCGTACTGGTCCCATATTACGTAAAAAAAATGATATAATAATTACTGAAACAAACATATACTGAGGTTTCAGAATTTTATGTTTGAAAATTTATTCAGCTTTAATTATTTTTCTAGATAATAACTTTATGAAAAGTGGAGCTATTTTTGTTGTTTGTATATAATTATTTTATAAAATTAAATTACTTGAAAAAAAAAATAATTGAAATAGGTGTGAAATTAATAGCTGCAATAATTGCATAATTAAGTGAATTTTAATTATATTTTACACTATTGTACAAAGTCAGGTAGAAAACAATTTTAAATTTATGTTTTAAAAATGTGACGGAGATGGAAAATTCAAAAGATTGAGGTTTTAAAAAATTTTTGAGATGATATTTAGTTTTTTTTGTCTTTTTATTTTTATCACTCTCTGTAAATATCCTAATCTATTAAAAGTTATATTCATCATGTTATCTTACCTGTACAAATAAATTGTAACCACCTGGAATATTTTTCATGATGTGCCTTTCAATTTTATCATTTTCTAAAATTGCTAATCCATTATCAATTAAAATTGGTGGATGTGTTGCTTCAAAATTGGTACGAAAATCTGCAGGAGGTTTTTGCATATCAACTGTTGTAACCTAAAAATGAAAAAATGGAAACTGTTATTAATTCTTGGCAAATTGTAACCAATCATATTTTTTAATATTATTTATATTCTACCTATACCAATATATGCACCCAAATTACATCATAATCCCGTTGAAAACAAGAATAAAAATTAAAAAATTCAATATTTAGAACAATTTTATCGCATGACTAATAAAAATGGCTAAGATGGAGAAAGGAAATAATCCTGAAAAAAAAGAGCAAAGGGAAAATAAAAACATATAAACACGTGCTAAGGTAAAGAAACATGGAAATAGCAAGTTACACCATATTATAAATTGTACACTAAAACAGGTTACTTTTGAAAGGTTTCCTCTCTAACAATCTTAAAGCACATATAAAAATTTCTCTAGAGTCAAGGTGAATGAAATTTTTGTTAATTTCAATTTTAAATTACAAGAATATTATGTAAAAAAAAATTGTTGTTATAAGGCAGGTAATAAAATAATTAAATTTAGTGGTCATGTCATGTGTTATTATGTCATTTATTATGTGTACGACGAACAAGTGATTAAATTCATTTTCTTTGATTAAAAAATGGAATTTATTTAATTGTGTTTTTTTTTCTTCTTTTCATAAATCTTATTCTTTTATTCGAAATTTATGCGGTTTCGTAATTTGATACCTCCGTTTTATATTGTTATTAGTAAGAGAAAAAATTATGCAAAATTATTCTTTTTTTGCAATATTTGTTTTGTTTTTTTGAACTTTAAAGCATAAACTTTTGTTTGATTTTTATATTAAAATATAAAAATTGACATACTGATCAGGAACTCATAATTTTCAATTAAATTGCTAATTTGAAAAAATGAAATTTAAAACTACCCAGCTCAACCTGACATAAAATTAAGATTTTACAATATTTAAATTTCTCGTATTCAAATCTATAACCCAGAAAAATTTGATCAAATTAGAACTATTTTAAGGTGGTCGTCATATATAAAAAAAATAAAAGCACCATCAATATGAAATTTGGAGAAGTTGTTGAGAAAACTTTCAGTTGATCACAAAAACTTTCAGTCAAAAAATCAATTTTTTCGAGAGACCTCAATATACCAAGGACTACCATATACCAAAATTGAAAGTTGACAAAATAAATTATACAAGTATTGTGGGAAACATATTATGTCGGCAAGATCTATAAATTTTATCCGGGGAATTTTTCAATATCAGCCATGTGAAATCATACCGAAAAATTGAATAAAAAAAAGCAAAACATGTTAAATATAGTTCTACACACAGTTTAGGTTCTGTCTAACTCATATTATTCATTATGAGAAGAAGAAATATATCAAAGGACCTGCCGAAATTTTCAACAAAAACAAAATTTTAGTTTATTCAAGTGATGGATGAAAAGAAACGGATAAAAATTTCATTAAAACACTAGAATTTTTAAATAAACAAAAAGAATGCCAATTTCTTTTTTCTCAAGTCGTAGAAATGCAAGACTGGTTAGTTGGTTCCAACATAAAATTATAAATTTTTAATTAATTCGAAATTCTTGTCTTATTCTCAATTTTTTTTTTTTACTTCAAAACTTTAATCCGCAAATAGTATAATATTTTAATTCTAAAAATAAATTTATCCAATTTGTAATGCGCATCAAATTTTTAAATATGTGAATAGTTTGGATATGGTTAAATTATTTTGTTTTTGCGAAAAAAAAGGCCACCACAAAAAAATATGTTAAATTTTGGTCAAGGCCAATAATTTTTGTTTTTAATATTTTAGAAAACGAAAATTAAAAATTAAGTCACACATCAAAGACAAATTACTAGCTATGTGTTTATTTTTGAAGTTAAAACTCCATATGTGGTTTATAGTCAAGATTCCATATTAGGAATTATTATTATATTTTAAATTTTCCATACTTTTGGAATTTTTTTGTAAAATTTAATATGAAATACAATCAAATTTTGTTATAGAAATTTATTTTTAGATAATTTATTTAAATAATTGTGAAAAATGAAAGTGAAAATTTAACCATGTGTGTATACAAATAAAATGCTAAATAGAAAGTTTTTTATTATTCAATTGAAATCAAACAATAAATTTGCAAATTTAATATGCTTTTTTGCTTAAAATACAGCCAAGAAACTAAGTTTTGCTGTTGATAATTGAACAAACTCTTAAATTGAACAGTTTGCTGTATTAGAAATATACAATTGAAGCATCTTTTTCCTGTTAAATTTATTTAACTTACAAGTAAGAAAGTCAAATATAAATTACACTATCAAATACATGATGCTCTCAATAACTTTTGCATCCATAAAATTTTGATAAGCTTTTGTTAAATTTTATAAATCTACTGTAATTTTAGAATAAGAATATTAATTATATGTATTGCTTCAGTTAACTTACTTTCAAACTAATTGTTTTTAGTTCAGCCAACAAATATAAATCCATAAAATATTCTTGACAGAATAGACACGCACCCTTTCTTCGTCCATCGATTGTTGATGCCTAAAAAAAAAATTTAAATAAAACAAAATTAATAATTTAAATTATAAATAATTGTGATATTAAAATTGCAAAAGCGATTTTTATCAGATCAAGAGTGCATGAGTACACAATTTTCTTTATTTAAATGTAATTTGAGTATCAGATTAAAATCTTTTCCTAAATGTATACGGCATTTGGCACACAATTATCAAATAATTCGCATTACCAGCGCTGCATACTGTAATTGAACAGCGCGGCAGTGTTTTTGTTAAAGTATGATGGTTAAAGTTATAAATAAAATTCGAATTCTTTTACAGTGATTGCTCCGTGACAATTTCAGAAACCATTTTTTTTTTTTGTTTTTGACAATCACATGTCACGGCTATACATGTTAATATAATTCCATTCATTTTTGAAATATTAAATTAGAATTAGCGGTTTTGACTGGCTATACATGTATCTCAATATTTTAAACTAAAATAACTTTTTAATATTAATAACTATTTTCTTTAATTTTATGTTATTTACGATTTGTTTTACAAATCTAAAAGCAGGATTTGTACACATAAGTAATAAGTAATAGCTTGTATTTGTTCCATAAAAAAATTCTCTCATAAACATTTATCCTAAACGTATTCCATAACTTCCATAATTTATTAAAATAAAAATATGAAAAAAAAAAAATAACTCAGTTAAAAATTTTCAAATTAATCTATTAAACTTTCGTAACCTTAAAAGAAAAAAAGATAAAAGAAAAAAATGGAAATTTTCATCCCATAAATCAAAATGTGAAAAAAACAAAATTATTTCATCATCGAAATATGAAGGATCGCCACAGGCAAAATAATCGAATAATTGTTGTACCATAAATAACGAATTATTTAAATATTTTGTTTCCCTTGCACCCCCCGCATACCTTAATAACTTAACTAACATTTTACTTTCATTTTCATTTTTTTGCAACAAAGTAAAAAAAAAATTTACTGTTTGTAAGTTTTTACCATTTTAAATACAAAAAATTTATTTTTACTCGAATTTTTTAATTAATTTTTTTTTTAATTTAAAAATAAACCAATAGAAAAATATTCTGTTATTTCACGCAATCATTTTTTTAGCATTCAAAGAAAAACAAAAAATTAATTTAAAATTCATAAAAACAGAAGAAACAAAAAATAATATTTTTAAAATCAAATATAAATTATACAAGAAAAAAAAACATAAATGTGATCCCGTGTCTCATAATATCTTCTTCGAAATAGCATTGTAGATCAGAGTTCGAGTTCAATTTAATACAATTTATATTATGCGGGTGCATTAGCAAGAATGTGAAAAGCACCCGCGCAACTATCCATCAATGAAAACAAAACAAAAAAAAAATATTTACAAAAAATTAAGTATGTGTATTAAAAAACAAAAAATAAATAATAAATTTCGTGAATTATGATTTGAAAACTGAAATAACATAACACATTTAATAAGTTCATCACATTAAAAACGAAAAAAAAAAATTGAAAAATCATATCTGGAAAAACTATAATTATCGTGACTTTAAACACGATGATGCTTGTAATGCACGGCAACATAAACATTGAATTTAATGTTAATGACCAAATAATAATATTATGAATATGCAAGAGTAAAGAAGATAGTAAAATTTATATAAGAAAAAAAATTAAACAAATATGCACGACGTATCATCTACTTAAAAGTACTTAAGAGAGTTTCCACGATAAAAGATTAAGAGACGGGGAATGAGAAAATGTGCACAAGAAGAGCAAATAACTTCACCTATCTATCAACTCCAAAATCAAATTTATGTAAACAAACATAAATAAAGTTGGGTCAAACCAATGGTTTGTATTGTAGCACTTTTCTCTTCAACAATTAAAAATACTCCTTTTAAAAACAATCTGTGTATACCCACCACACCATTAAAATTATTTTCATTCATATACGAAACGATTTCATGAAGGATTTCATACATTCAGGAAGAGCGAGGGAAAAATTTTCTTCCACGGAAATAAGTTTTTAGTAAAGATCTATGTACGTATAAAATTTTAGGTTTCCATCTTCAAGGGTGTAGAAGTTTTGTAAACGGACACATGGACAGACGGAGGGACGGACAGAGTGAAATTAATAAGCACTTTCTTCAAATTTTTTTTGGAAATGTGCTAAAAAGCACAAAAAAAATTAAAATATTAAAATATTCAAATTTATTTCCTAATGAACTGTTGAAGTCATTCAGATTGAATTAATACGAGTATTAGAAAAGTTAATAGCAAATGTCCAATTTAATCGGACATTTGGAACTATAACAGAAATGTAAAAAATATTTAGCCGTAGTGTCTTCGATTTCTCTTTTCTATATAATATTGCATTGTAATACGTGTATAACAAACCGTTTTAAATTGTTAGTTAAAAATTAAAAATTAATTTTTAAACCTACTAAAGACATCATTACAAATTACAATTAACTCGGAGATATTGGGTTAAATGTCAGAATAAAGTCACTTAAAATATGATAAAAACTCAATTGAATGTCAAACGACCTCTGTCACTTTACTCCTACAAATCGCAGAACTGACAATTATGGAAGACAATTAAAGTACCAATTTTTAACTAAGTATACATAGTAAACATTTTAGTGTTCTCAAAGTGAAAGATGTTAAGCCCAAAAGTGACAGTTACAACTATATGATAAGTAACACGACTTTTGGAATAAGGTCCACGACACCTTCTGTAAGTGATAGATTTAAAAAAAAATTAAAAATACCTACAAAACAATCGTTACCAAAACAAGTTATCTGAACAAAGTTTACTAAATGTTAATCCATAAGTAATTGCAACGACACTGAATTCTTAAGCAAAATAATTTTTTTGTTGTATATTTCGACTTACAAATACTGAGTTGTTATATAATAAGTTAACAATTTCTGACATCATAATAATAATATTGCAAATATTATTACCATCCTCTTTACAATTTCCAAGTTATTGTCGATTTCCTATACCAAAGTCAAAGCAAAAACCAAAAGTTAGCATTATGCATCCAGTATTTTTGGCATGCAAGATTTACTTTTCTTTACATTTAAAAAGAGCATTTTATACAATTAGGAAGGTTCGGTAATACTGTGAAACTTTTTTATGATACTATAAGCAGTGTAACACATTTCGAAACCTGCGTTTTTTCATAATACGGAACACTACCATACTTAAATTTTACGCATAATTAAAAAACGATTGAATTAATTAACAGAATTTCTAATGAACCCAAAAATCTGAATACAATACTTAAGATCATAGCTTACCTACTGTGATGTAAAGGCAAGCCAAACAAACTTTTTATAAACATCAATTATAATTTTTATCGAAAATATCTTTATTAATAATTTTGATTAACCGAAACTAATTATCTATATAACTATAACTTTTGCATAGTTTTTTTCCTGCTCATTCAGTCGGTCACTAACTTTTTTTCAGATTAATTGGAAATAATTCAGATAGGAAATCACTTGATATTTTAATAAAACAATTAAAATTTAAGGTGTGCTACTAATTTTCTTTCAATTTTGTTTTAATCAAAAAAAAAAAAGTTAAAATAATCTCGTTCAAGTTCGCATTAATGAATGAAAACGCTAGTTTTGAAATTTCTAAGGTCAATTTACTTGTATGATACATATGAGTTAGTTGCACTCTTGTACTAATATTTTACATATTCATACATGATGTTGAACTAAAACCAGAGTAAGTTGAAATTTGTATAGTTTGTAATAAAAGTTGATAACGTAGATTTTTTCTTCTATCAATTCATGTAGAGCATGTCTCAAAATCAATGTTCACTAAATTCTTCATAAATAAATTAGTATGTATTTAAAAAACCAAGTGTGTATATATTTTGTTTAAAATTATTTCGAACATTAATAACTTTTCATTGATTTTAATGTTAAATTTTATAATTTGCGATACACAAAATATGACAGCGTTAACTTCTCTAACTTCAACTTCTATTACGCGTACATATACTGAAGAGAAAAGATAATCTTGCAGCAAAAAAAATTATAACCGAGGAGTAAAAAAATTGTAAATAAAAGAAAAATAAACCTTAGAGCGAAATTTTAATCGCTATATATAATTTTAGTATTTAAAATTAACTTTTTTTTTCAATCCAGTTAATTACTCTCTCCAGAGGCGCATTGAAAAATGTACAACAATTTTGATATTTTCTCTCTGAGAAATGGCAATTTTGAAAGTTTGAAGCGCCAAGACAATTACTTTTTACGCAATTTCTATGAAATACTTTAGCTTGAATGGGACGTCGCTTAAAGAGTTGGCTCTTGGGTACTCTTATTTATTTATCTAAAATCTATTTACTTATATTTTTCAATTTCAATACGGTCAAAATTAATGTTAACCGGAAAGAATAAAGTTGATTGTGTCAAGTCTGTGATATGCACGAATGTTTTTCAAAAGCTAAAAAATCAACATTCTTCAGAATGATTCTATTACTAAACTTCGTATCAAGTATAGACATATTAAGTATATTACATATTTTAAAAAATCAAGTATATTACATATTTTAGTTTGTATGAGTTAAATGCAAGTTGCTTCTTAATTTGTATAGTAGTTATTATTAAATTTCTTGGTTAAATTTTGCGAGTAGTCGGTTTGTCACTCTATTCATTCATTTAGCTTTAGATTTTGTGAAATCTGTCCAAATTATTTTAAGAGTTCTATAGTACTCGCAACTATTTAAATCACTGCTGTGATTGAACCCAAATTAAATAGCTTAGCCCAGCTTAATGGGTTTCCGAATATCGCTAGGACGATTCGACGTTGATCAAAAACATATGATTGTGTCTATTTCTCAGATGAATTTTTCTTACCGCTACAAACGGTAAATTTATCTTCGAAAATTAGTTCGTACGAGAAAATGGTTTAGAAATATGTAGGTACAATAAGAAATTTTGAATTAAAATTTTATTCCATTTCTTCATATTGTAACGACATTTGGTTGTCTCTTT